GTTTGTTTGTGTGTATGTATGAGAGTGAGTACTGTGATCTCTGACTGGTTTTTGAAATTGTTGCTGCCTAGCAGTGATTGGGGCAGTAAGTGGGTGTTCACTTAATCTCAGGCTAGTCCCTAGTGAACAGGCTTCCTCTTGCTCACGGAAATATAAATAACCTTTGCACTTAGTGTGCAAATTGTGAAGGAAGCCACGGCCCACGAACAGAATATCGCTCTTAATTGGGGGTGGGTTATGATCCGGCCTTGGCTATGAGTGGAAGGCATAGTTAGGGAACAGTCAGTGACTAGGTGCAAGGAAAGCTGCAAGATGAATAACAACTGCAAACCATAGGCAGGTTATTTAAGTCTGTATTAACAATTAAATGACTTGAATCTTTTGAATTTGCTGTCTTAGGGCAGAGAGGCAGTGCATGTGTGCCTTTTCATGCGTCTGTGTGGCATGTGATTTTGACAAAGTTGCGTATCCCGCTTTCTTGGCGATGAGGCTCTGAGTCATCGTGTTCTTCGTGCAGTTGTTGCGGACCGTGGCCCACGCCTCTCACTCAGGCCCGTCCTTGAGTTCTGAGACCTGTTACTGGAGGAGTGAGTCATTTCACAGGAGATCGCGCTGTAGTCCAGTACTGCCTGCTGTGTAGGATTCTCTATCAGCTTGGGGAAATAAATGCGTACGCTACTCTAGTTGGATTCCAGGCCCCTACTAAAACTGAAATGAAGATCAGTGGTCTGGTTTCCGTTAAAGTATCTATCGGTTTTTCAGGCTGCGTGTGATGAAGGATGGGTTGGTTGTTCAGGCCCCTGCAATGGCTGCTGGGAGTTTACCTCATCCCTTCTATCTCAAGGTGCTTTATTGCAGTCGCCTTCATCTATCGCCATAACGACAAGCTTCAGCACTGGGATTCCTTAAGTGTTCAGGTAGCAGTCAAATCCTTTACTATTGCTGCATACACAACATGCCAATTCCCAAATAAAACGCACAAAATACCAAGCACTTTTTTGACCATAGAAATAGACTCAGCGGCTTATTGCGTAGGTTGCTTACTGCCCTCTATTTGAGAAAGTTAATTATGGATCTATAAAAATAAGATGATGTAATATATTGTTACATGTTTTTCTACTGCAAGATAAAAAAATGATGTTTTGTTTTGCTGAGAAGTTTCTTAGTGTTATCTGCTTTTTACCCAGGGTGACTATGACTAAATGAGAAGCAAACATTGGTGTACAATAGCTCCTCTGTGTTGCTCTCTAATTGGCTGAGACCATGAGACCAGCCTGTTTTTAGAGAGCTAGTTACTCATTGGCTGGTTTGTTTGAGCAGTGCAAAGATATTGTCAACTAATATTTATCTACTGTATTTAAAAGCCAAAAATGAAAGGAAAAAAAACAGGAGTGGTTAAGTTGCTTATGTGGCCGGCCCATGTTATGCCCATTCTTTGCTGAATCGCCTGTCTTTTGAGAATTAGAGATTGGTTCAGCTAGGCCAGCACTAAATAGGACACGACTGTTTAGCTTTTGAAATACCAAACACCTTCTGACTTACAGTGCAGATTAAAGCAGGCAAGATGGTGTGCAAGTACATTTTGCTCATTTGGTTAAAAGGAGCAAAATATTCCAAGCTCCTGTGCTCAGCACCGTCTAAACTATTTTAATATCCCATTTTTAATCCTGGGATAATTAATCTCAGCAAGGCCTGGCCGGGCTAGACTGTGAGATGAGACCCGTGATCGCAGTGATGAGTCACACGCCCACGCTGCGTCACCATGGCAGCGGAGCGGGCAGCCGCAATGGCCCCCGCAATCGGAGAAGGAATGAATGTGCACAGCGGGCAGGGTATGAGTCGCCCACACGCTTCCGCGAGGATGGGTGGGGCCACCTTTTCCGCTCAGGGTTCGGAGCGAACGATGAACTTAGTGGGAGGCGTCTGTGGGCTTGATGGACTTTGGTAGAAAGGAAGCCATAGCCTTTTGTTTGTTGTACCACCAGAATGGCTGCTTGTACGAGGACAAGCTGCTTGTACAGCCTCACGAGACTGTACATCACTACTGCTAGTAACACTGTAACTGGAACGAGAACCCGCAGATTGAGACAACCCTATACCTGGAGTTGGTGCAGCAACTTCTCTAGGCTTATCTCCTGCCGTAAACACAGTGATTTTTTTTTGTGTGCGCTAAAATGTGAGAAAACCCTTAAGGGGAATTTAGTGCACCATGATTTTGAAAACTGTAGTTTAACTGCAGACTGTCAAATGGGGCAGAGGGGACGATAAAATTGGCATCCAATGTTAAATTTTTATGCTTCGGTGCAAACTGTACGGGATGTAAATGGCTAGCAAGCTTTTACTGTAGCGATAATCTTGTAAAGTAGATACTGCAGTGTTCTTAATGATATAATTTGTCATTTTGTGAAGACACGGTTTACATACAGACATATCTATGGATATAGGTATTATGCTGTTGATTAATATTATTTTTTCATCTAATTTATGTAAAACCACAGTTAAGTGTACTGCTTAAAGTGTCATGATGGCTTACACACTCCAGTGCATTTGATGTTAATCTTTATTGCTAAATCTCAGAATGATAAACCTTTCAGTTGTAAAGGTCTCCGTTAGTTCAGAACTTCAGGTCTGCATGTGTTTTATGTTCACATTGAGCCCAAGTGTCTGACTTATCAGCAGGAAAAGGTTTTTCCTTCAGGCAGTACTGGTCCTAGTGGGCCTCTGTGGTAGCTTTTGTTTCTTAATTGGATTAATTGGATAGAAATTAATTGAGCTGATTGTTTGTTGATGAAATGATGCTAGCCGCAGGACTTTTTGGAAATGGTGATGAGTTAGGAGATGCACGTAAGCTGAATATATATCAATTTACATGAATGATATTGACACCAATACATACAGTAAACTGGTTAAATTTGCAGATGACACCAAGGTGGGTGGTGTAGCAGATACTGATCTAGCGACACAGAGGCTACAACGGGATCTTGATTTAATTAACGATACCTGGCAAATGAAATTTAACATAGATAAATGGTAGGTAATACATGCAAGGAGCAGAAATATAAAGTACAGATATTTTATGGGTTCAGCTGAAATAAAGGTGGCTGATTATGAGAAAGACCTCGGTGTGTATGATGATGCTTCCATGTCCCACTCTTGCCAGTGTAGGGAATAAAAAAGGCCAAAAGGATGTTGGGTTACATCTCTAGGTGTGTGGAGTTTAAGTCAAGGGAGGTGATGCTACGATTATATAATTCCTTGGTAAAACCCCATCTAGAATATTGTGTGCAGGTTTGGTCACCATACCTTAAGAAGGACATTGCTGCTTTGGAAAGGGTGCAACATAGGGCTACGAGAATTGATTCCTGGTCTTAGAGGAATGTCTTATGAGGAGAGGTTAGATCCAGGTATACAAGATTCTAACAGGTCTGGATGCTGTTCAGCCAAATGGCTATTTCAATATTAGTTTAAGTACTAGAACTCGTGGCCATAAGTGGAAATTAGCGAGAGAACATTTTAAAATGAATTTGAGGAAGCACTTCTTTACACAGTGTGTAGTTAGAATATGGAATAGTCTTCCTGCTAGTGTAGCGCAAGCTAAAAACCTGGATTTCTTTAAATCAGAGCTATATAAGATTTTAACAACTCTGAGCTATTAGTTAAGTTCTCCCCAAACGAGCTTGATTGGTCGAATGGCTTCCTCTCATTTGTAAATTTTCTGTTTCTTATTATGTATGCAAATCTCAAAGTGCTTCAAAATAAGATTGGACTGGTTAGTATTTTCAAAACCAGGGTTAAACCTGAACTCAAACCTTGGTTAAATTCTATGGGAAAACCCACATAAATGGTGATGCAGCAGTAGAGGGAAAGCCTGCCTTAGAGCACTGTGAGAGGATGACTCAGAGGCTGCGTGAGCTGTTAACACCTTCAGGGCTCAGGAGAGTCTGTGTAGAGCCCCTCCTTCAGAGGATGCAGGCTTTCTGATCTGCGCCGCTGTGCTGTGGGGGCTCAGAGCCAGACGGGCCAAATGTGATACCCAACTCATGGCCCTGTTCCATGTTGTGTCATCACACAACTGTGGCAGTTAGTGGGTGAGAAGTGTGTGTCGTGCTGTGGTGTATGTTTGCTCCTCTGAAATACTCTCCTTCTCTGAGTCAGCCGATTGCAGGAGCCTTATAAAAAGACCCATTCAGTAATTGGGAACAAGTACGTACAGGCTTCCACTCAACTGAAATGTATGAATCTTCTGGCTTGAACATGAAATGTTTGAGAAAGGCTTGTGGAACCTTTCTCAATACGAAACCCTGCTTGCATCTTCAGTCTCCTGAAATATACAGCCACCTTTGCTGCTGGGAACAGAGCAGAGTACTTGAGCAGAGTACTTGAGGGTATGTACTAGTTATTTGGAGATCACCCTTTAGCAGGATACTTCACCTGACTTCCTAGCTGTCTAAATGTTAAAGAATGCAGTTATAGAAAATGGGCCCCATTCACCATTATCATTGTAAGTTTTTTTTCCTTCTAGTCAAAGATCCTAAAAGGTTGTCAGTCTGTCAGATTCACGACGTGTCCACAGAATTGTTTGCAAATGTGTTCTTACAATGATGAATCCCATTGTCCTGACAAATTAAAAGCACATTCCAGTTCTTCCTAATTAGCATAGGTAAACACCTCGTCAGTCTCCATAAAAGGACGTGAGACTGCAGTGTTGTGTGCGCATAGAAATCACACACAGAATTTAAGAAGAAAAGCTGAGGGAGATGTCGTGAATGTCCAAATCTAAAGACTGTGGAGCACCAAACATAAAGAAAGTCTCCAAACATAGGAAAAACTGCAATAGATCTGAAGTGTAGGTACTGCTGTAGGACGTGAACGGCAAACAATGATTAAAGTTTTCATTATTAAAATTATAATTAAAAAAAAAGATATTTTAAATCTTGCAGAGCAAAGCTTTTCAGTATAGATGATGACTGAGCTGATGTGTGTCCTTGTGTGTGTGGCAGGTTTGGGATGGTGCGGGTAGTGGGTGGTGCCTGTTCACCAGCTCCGCCCATAGTGGGGCTGTGCGTGATGCCAGTTGGATGCCCTGCGGAAGACGCTTCCTGACTGGCTCCTTTGACAACTCGGCCATCGTGACAGATGTGGAGACAGGTGAGCTTTGATGCCGCAGCTGTCATATTTTGATGTTTGATTTATTTATTTTCAATTATTTGTTTTCAATTATATTAATATAATGAAAATAATAGTTGTCTTATACTTAACTATATTCTAAAAAATACTATAAAGATACTCAGTAGTTGTTTCACAAAGTATAATGTTGAAAAAGGGCTGAAGGGCACTTGGATGTTTCCTGTTTGAAACTCTTATGCCACACCAGGTTACTTTTGCATATTGGCCCTGCACATTACTGTCCCCCTTTGACTGTTTGGGTTGTTGAGCGGCTCTCACCTGTCCTCGGACTTTATGGAAGGTGTGTTTACGTGCTTTGAGTGTGCGCCGGTCACGCCTCTGCGGCCCGTGGGAAGCATGGCGGCTTGCCCTTATGGAGCCCTCTGGGGTTTAGGTCAGACAGCCACAGAGTTTTGGAAAGGTGGAGGCAGCAGTAGGAAATTCACAAGCCGATGATTGGCTAGGGAGCGGGGGGCCACCCACACACACACACAGTAGGCAGCAGCACTCGCAACTGGGAAGGCAATCCCTGAATGAGTGATACACACAGCCAGTAAAAGCAGCGGGTTGCCATGTCCGTGGGCTCCTCTTGCTTCCTTTGGTCTTGCGTAATGTAGTCAGGATGTTCACCGCTTGCCGGGCTCCCTTCTGCTACCATGTGCATCAGGGGGTCAGCTTCTCTCCATCTCCGCCTGACATGCAGACAGCTGTCAGCATGTGACCAGGGTGTATTTGCTTTGCTAGGTTCTTAACAGTTGGGTGGTTCTGGTGCTTAGAGAAACCTGCCCTCCCCAACCCAATCAGTGCCCCTGCCACACCAGCAGCTGCTTAATTAAATCTCGGTGTGGAGCGCTGCCCCCCCGCTCCGCCTTTCCTCTGGCAAACATGGGCGTGGCCTCGGCACGGCAGAACACCGCCCCCATCCATTTCCTTTTTTGTTTCGTGGTGTCGAAGCAGTGGAGTGCGAGGTAGAGTGCACTCCTCCTGGGGAGCCACAGTCGATATGAGCATTTGCTCTGCCTGCGCGGTGATAAGTGTGTAATCAGTGCCACGACACATAGGGGACCTCAGGAGCTGAGCAGCCCTGGACGCTCTGCGCATCGGCCTCTCTGCCTCCCAATGCAGGTCCTCTGCTTGGGATGGGAGGCCGTGCTCTGAGTCCCACTGCGTGCGCAGAGCCTGCGAAGCTTGGTCTGCCAAAGCTGGAGACTGGTGCTGCATGGCCGGTAGTGTTTGGAATATAACCTTTATCATCTTGAGTCAAATGCAGTACCTGTAGCACTGTAGTACTGCTGTTCTGACTGTAGCAGGCGGCCAAGTGCACCAGCTTTAGACTAACTACAGAGCAAGCTAATGTGCCATAATGCTGTAGTGCTTATTGACAGCTTCTCTCTTTTCATATCTGGTTTGTGTTTTTGTCCCACATGTGCAGCGTAAAACAGAGATGCACAAAAAAAGTTAAATGAGCCGAGTGTGATTCCCTCAAAAACAAGTGTTTTGGGTGTTTTGCTAACGTGCCGTAACGCTAAAGAGCTGTAAAGGCTGCTTTCAGCTGTGCCGCTACGACTAACAAAAGGCCAAACAACATCCTCTACAGAATGTCACTGTCACACCACCTGATGAGTCTTTCTGCTTTTTTCCCCCAGTTTGAAAGGTTTAATATGTCGTTGGTTGCCAAACAGGACTTAACAGCTTTTTAGGGACATGTTTTCATCTAAATGTTCGTGTTTGTAATTATCTAGTAATTATTGGACAAAAAACAATTAAAATGTTTCCATCAGCACAGTAATTGACAATATAAATGAAGCTGAAACTTTCCAGTGTACACCTGCCAGAGTTGGCGTAGGATCCTGATAACATCCTGACTGCCATGTAGATATTGTGTCGTAATTGTCATGACACTGACAGTAATTTTTTTCTTGGTTGTATCTTGATAGGAATTTGCAACTGTGCTGTAAGACACTGTAGCTGAACCGCATCTCGCTGTAAGACACCGTAGCTGAAACACGTCTTGCCCCACAGCACAGTGTTTCCTGTGTAATTAGGCAGAAATAAACATGTTCTCCGTGATGTTGCTTTCATTACATTCTGCCCAGTGTTTCTTTGTGCCTTTTCTTGTGGATCAGGAGAAAGAGTGGAGCCAGCAGCAAAAAGCACTGTGCTCCTTATCTCTTTCCCCTTAGCTAAGCTAATTAAGTTTCTTAATTAAAAAGTGAAGAGGGTTATTAATTATGCAAGGGGGGTGATTCTTCATCTTCTCCCAAAACATTAGCTGAGGATCTAGGTGACAGATTGCCACCCCGCCCCGTGCCACGACGCAAAAAACAATTTGCATTATGCTGAAACACATTTATGCACAACCAATTTGAGAGCTGTCTGGTCTTACCTTATTATCAGATGGGGGTCAGGCCCAAGCCAGTTTAATTCTGCTGATAATCCGACACCTTTGAATGATAGCTGTGTGTTTGGACAAACGGCGGGTGCTGTTACATTTTGTCATGGGCAGAGCGATCATCCTCTTTCACTGCAGAATTGCCCATGGTTCCCTCTGGCTTTTTAACTAGTGATTGACCACCCCACTGCCTTCAGTAAGTAGCAACCCATATTAATACTGGAGTACCACTGTCTGCCAACCTGTAATCTCAACTGAGCATATGAAAGGAGCTGCTCAGAATGTGTTTTAGAGTATGTTTTATAATACATTGTTTCCTTGCATATCGCCATGTCTAATTCAGCATTGTAGAGCATTAGCAAAATGAATTGCGTTCCAAATTGTCATTTGTGTTTGCAACTGTTAAGAATTCGCAATTTTTTCAGCTCAGATTGGGGGGGGGGCATTTCATTGTGCAAGGAATGTTTTGACATACTGTACATTTGGCTGAAAGTACAAATTCATTTTGTCTGCAGTGAGGACAGGTGGATAAACTACGATAGCTGTTTGTTTTTGTGCTTGCTGCTCTCTTGGGGAAAACAGCACAGCTCATCAGCTCTCCTGCTACTTGGAGAGGGGGTGTTCAGTTTCTGCAATTAAGCAACACCCAAAACACTTGTTTTTGAGGGAATTACTATCGGCTCATTTCATTTTTTTTTGTTCCTCTTACACATGCGAGATAAAAACACAACCCTGATATGATGAGAGAGAAGGGGTTGAATGGGAAAGCTTTGCTGATGTTGCTCCAGCTGATATGACGTTCTGCTGGCTTTTCTGTTACCGTGAGCCTTGGCCTGAGGTTTGGTGCAGTGCCTCTGTGCCTGGAGATCATCCATCACAGCTGCCTGCTCAGAAACCCAAATACCACCATCCATAAATTAGCCGCACAAATGGGCAAAGGCCTACGGCTCTTCGGCCATCTTTGAATATGCCAGCATTCAGGAGTGACTGGCTTCTCTCAGCATGAATCGCTCTTTTAAATGAGGACAGTGTCAGCCATCAGGCCTGGAGGGGCGGGGTTTACTCTAAGTGGATGGAGCCCACTTGCCCTCAGAGGCCGTTTACTGGAGCCTGATTATTTTCTTAATTTGTGTAGATTTTACAAGGGCACAATGAAAGTGTCGAAATGAAAAGTGGCCCAAAGAGGCATGTTGTTAAATTACAGGACAATCGATACTGTAATAACGGATAACGGATACAGAGTTAATGTGGGCCGCTGCCCTCGAGACTCGTCGCTTTTGCTGTCCCCTTTAGTCAAGATGTTAAACATATTTGTAAATCCGTTGCTCTCCAGAACACGTTATGATGTGGAGGGACAAACATATAAAAATGTAATGAATTATCATTTCATGCTGAGAAATACCACATTTTTCAGTGTAAAGTGCGCGTGTAT